TGTGGTTTATTGTTAGGACTAAACATCTGTCTTATTTTACTGTTGCTAATCTCTTACGCGCCCCATGTCCAACTCAGACTTTATCATAGATGTGCGGCACAGGACAAGCAGAGAGTGTGCAGAGGTTGGCACGCTGCGATTTCAGGCACCCACCCGGGGTCTTGGAACCCATTTCCCAAGGATAGAGATTTACTTACTATTGTCAACAAACAATGCTGGGTGGCAAGTAACAGGTGCTCAGGGAGGACCTCACCAAGGAGGTGACATCCAAGCAGGAATGCAAAGGACAGGAGTGGCCTGTGTGGGGGTGGGGCCGGCAGGTGCAAAGGCCCTGGGGCTGCGAGGGCAGGTGGGGAGCAGGGTACCCGAGGGGTGGTGTTCACTTTCTCGATCTCTCCCCCTAGCGCCAGGGCTCCCTGCCCCAGCTCCACCTCGTGAAGGTGATGGCAGCCCCTGCTTTGACCTGGAGTCTGCTCCTCCTCCTCCTCCTGCCTCTGGCGTCTGCAGTGGTGAATGGTGAGGACCCTGGCATCTGGCTGTGCTTTCCCTGGGGAGGGCCCAGGCCTCTAGAACCCTTCCCAGATCCCTGCTTCTGGGTCGCAGGAGGCAGGGGAGGAGGGACGGGGCAGTGGGGACTGGGAAGCAGGCGTCCACCTCCCCGCTGGGCCCTGGGCTGGTCCCTGCTGCAGGACCTGCCTCTCCAAGCCACAGAGAGGCTGCTTCCTCGCCCTTCCTGGCCACGGGACCGGGCAGGCTCTGAATCCCTTCTCCTCGGGGCAGAGTCGCGCCTCCTCCTCTGGCAGGCGCAGGGAGCAGGAGCAGGGTGGTGGCCTGCCCGCGTCCCCCTGCGCCCCTCCGCTCACGGCCCGCCTGCCCACAGACACGTCGCAGCTCTCGTGCTTCTACAACTCCAAAGCCAACATCTCCTGCGAGTGGAGCCGGGAGGGGGGCCCGCAGGGCGCGTCCTGCCAGCTCCACGCCAAGTCCAACGTCCGGTGAGTGTGGCCCCTGGAATCGCAGCAGGACCTCGGGCCTGGGGTCTGACAGCCACCGAGTCCTGCATATCGGGCCCCAGGAAGCCACTGAGAACCTCGGGCCCACAGGACCCGGCAGGCTCGGAGTCACGGGGTCGGACGGTCGCCGTGGCCAGTCAGCTGTTCGCACCTGGAGCCTGGCCAGGGTCCAGGCCGCAGCCTTGGGGTGGCCCTGAGCTGGACAGGTGTCTGGGGTCGACGGAGGCCTCCTGCTCCCCGAGGCTCCATTGTGGGCTGGGATTTCGAGAGGACTCCCCCTGCCTGGGCAGCTGGGGGACAGGGAACCATTAGCTGGATCAGTGCTGTCTTGTGGGGACAGGGAAAGGGAGTGCCTGGGGCCCCGGGGCTGGGAGGGAGCTGGTGAGGGTGCAGCCTGGTCCCCGCAGGCTGGGGAGGCGGGGAGGCTGGGCAGAGTGGGCTCTGTGGGGGGGGTGGGCAGCGGGAGGCCGGCGGGGCCTGGGCCGGGCTCCGGAGGCCAAGCTCAGGACGGCACCCTGAGCCCCGCGAGCTCTGGGCTCTGGACGGCTCGCGAGGGCGGGGAGGGCGCTGGCCCAGGGAGCAATGGGGGGCAGGTGGGGGTCGGGTCCTCTGCAGGCGGCAGAAGAGCTGCCCAGGACGGAGAGGGGTCCCCCCAGCGCGCAGCCCCTCCCTCTTCCTAGGACGCCCTCTTGCCTTGCAGGCCCTGGAACAAGACCTGCGAGCTGTCCCCGGGCGGGCAGGCGTCCTGGGCCTGCGACCTGCTCCTCGGGAAGCCGGATGTGAGTAGCCCAGCCGTGAAGCTGGGGTGCAGCTCCGGACGGGGTCTCCAGAGGCCCTGGAGCCGACACGCGTGGCCAGGCCACCTCCACGGCTCCGGGCTGAGGCGGCGGCGGCAGGAGGGAGGGGACCCGGGTCAGAGCTCAGCCTGGCCTGGCTCGCCCTGGAGGAGTGAGGCCCTGCGTCTCTGTCCAGGCCGCGTCCCCCCGCGCTCTGTGGGTCCTGCGACACACCCATCGTCCCTGTCAAATGGGGACAGCCCCAGGAACAAGACACCCACAGGGGACTCGTGCTAGGGCTGGGCACGCAGGGCGATAGGGACGTGTGGGGACGAGCTGGACACCAGGGCTGGTGGCATCGTCCCCCAGATGGATGACCTTGGGCAACTTCAGTGCCCTGGTGTCCCCTCTGTGAAGTGGGAGCCGTAATGGCGGCTCCCCGGAGGGAACTCGTGAGGCTGGAGCGCGTGGACGGCGCTGGGCTTTGTTGCTGTCCACGGGTCCTTACTCCGTGAGTGGCCCCGCACCGTCCCTTCTCACTCATGAAGAAAGGAGGGTCAGAGGGGTGGGCCCTGCCCGAGGCCACAGCCGGGGAGGGCACAGCTGGGACTGGCCCTGGCCCTGGGGGCTGCCGGCTGGCTGCCTCTGGGGGCTCATGGCGTTTCCCGGGTGGCATCTGGGCACTCTCCATCAGGGACGCCCAGGCCTCATTTTCCTTGGCTTCTGTGGGTTCTCGAGGGTCAGGGGACAGGCGATGTGGCCACAGGTCACAGTGAGGAAGGCGTGGCCTCTGGAGCACACGCAGGCCACCTGGGAGCAGTGTGGGAGGCCTTGACCCGAGGCGGGTCCCTGCCACCCTGCGGCTGGCAGCCACTCGGGCCCTCTTCCCTGCAGTCCCAGCCCGTGAACGCGGTGGACGTCCTCAACATCAGCGTGGTCTGCTGGGAGGGCGGGCGGTGGCGCCTGCTGAAGAGCCAGGCCTTCAGGCCCTTCCACAGAAGTGAGTGAGGGCTCTGTCCCCGTCACCACCCGCCAACCGCTCCCGCCCTGGGCTCAGGGGTGGCTGTCCTCCCTGGCCCCCCCCTGCAGCCTGTCCCTGAACCCGGGCCACCAGCAGCGCCTCTGAGCCCCGGGCCTGCTGGGCCCACCTGGAAGGCCACCCACCCGGGAGGTCCCCCAGCTGAAGGCTGCGAGGGTCCCCTCCTCCAGCCACCCCCCACGCCCCGCCCTGAGCTCAGCCGTCTGACGGGTCACTGCCTCGCTGGCCCTGGGCTCCCGAGGGCACAGTGGCTGCCCTCCCCGTCTCTGAGCACTGGCACCAGGCCTGTGCCCAGCAGGCCTCTGGGAAGGTTGGCTGGAAGTGGCCGGTGGCCGCCCCGTTCCCTGACCTGGGGGACCTCTCTAGGGGAGAGCTGGGTGGCGAGAACCAGGGGTGCAGCCCCGTCCCCTCCTCCGGAGGTACCCAGAGCCGCCTGGCCACAGTCGTGGTCAGGGCCTGTGAGCCCCGTCGAGGAGGCCGCACGTAGGCGGCCCGGCCCTGAGGCGAGAGGGGAGGGTGAGCCGGGCTTCAGAATCCCCTGTGACCACCACTCCAGGCCCCAGGGCCCCGGGCACCTCAGGTGCTGCCCTCTGCGGGGCTGAGACAGAAAAGGGAGCCACAGCGGACACTAGCGCCGTGGGTGGTCAGTGCTGGAGGGACAGCAGCCGGCGGGCGGCCAGGAGGCCCAGGAGGCTCTGAGCAGGGACCTGCAGGAGGGGACAGCCCTGAGCATGGGGGAGGGGAGGGACGGCGGCCAGGAGGGAGGGTCAGCGGTGCGGGGGTGCTTGACGGTCTGCTGCCACCACCAGAGGCACCCAGCTGTCCCCTTTCTCTCCTGTCCCCAGTGCGCCTCTTGGCCCCCGACTCCCTCCAGGTCCTCGAGGTGGGGACCCACACGTGCAACGTGACCTGGCGCACCTCCCTGGTCTCCCACTACATCGAGTCCTACCTGGAGTTCCAGGTCCGCACGCGGACCCCGGGCCACAGCTGGGAGGTAGGAGGCGGCCCGGCCCGGCCCACCTGGCTCCTCCCTGTCCTGCTGCATGTCCACTTCCTGTCTGTCCTCCAGCTCAGCCTCGTCCCGGCAGCCCCAGGCAGGGGCGGGTGGCTGAGGTGTCCGCGCCTCCCCTGCTGCGTGGTGCTGCCTACCACCTGGGGATGCAGCGGGGGTGCATCCAGGCAGCCCCCAGGGCAAGACCCATGAAGCCAAGGGGCAGCTGCTGCCCGCCCCGTCTGCCCGTGTGGCTTCAGAGGGCAACGAAGCAGCCTCTCCACGCTCCAGAGTGCCCTGTCCGTGGGGCCGCGGGTCCCCTCTTACTCCTCTGTTCACTTGATCCCGCTCTGCACTCGTTTACTGAGCACCTACTACGCCCGGGAGAGCCTGGGAGGCCAGGCTGGGAGCTGGCCACTCTCGGGGACTCCGACACACGCTCCCAGGGGGGGCAGTAGGCAGACACGAGGATGCGAGATGGGGACATGGGTTGACAAGGGCCATCAAGGGAACTACAGGGACAGACGTTTGAGAGAGACCGTGAGGGCCACTTGGAACTCTGGTGTTTCCAAACGCAGAGGACGTCATGCCTCTCACAGGCAGGACGCAGCCCACGTGTCTGGGGGACAGGAAGAAGGGAGAGAGGCGTCCAAGGCGGTGGGCACCTGTGGAGCCACCCCTCTTCCTCGCGGAGATGGGACTCCAGTGGAGGTCCCCAGGTGGCCTCTGGTGGAGACACCCACGGGCAGATGGCTCAGGGTGGGGGCTGCAGGGAGTCAGGGTGACCCTGGGGCTTGGGGACCCAGCCGCTGGGCAGTCAGGGAGCCATCGGGAAGGCTGGGAGAGGGGTGGCAGATCAGGGCGGGCGCTGCCGGGCCAGCCTCCTGGGCAGTGGGCACCGTCCCCCCACGCTGACTGCCCTGCCCCTGCCCAGGAGGCCGCCCTGCTGAGCCTCAGGCAGCAGCAGCAATGGATCTGGCTGGAGCAGCTCACCCCGCGCACCCCGTATGAGCTGCAGGTGCGGGTCAGGCCCCGGCGGGGCGACCACACCGTGTGGAGCCCCTGGAGCCGGCCGCTGGCCTTCAGGACGAGGCCCGCAGGTACCGGGGCTGCGGGCACCTGGGGGTGGCTCTGGGGCGGCTCCTGCCGCAGCCTGCGGGGACAGGGCTCACCCAGGGAGGGACTTCCACGGCCCGTGGCGGGTGCAGGGCGGGTTGGCGCCCTGTGACGTCCAGGCTCCAGCCAGGCCCTGGGTGCCCCCAGGTGGGCCGTGGGAAGGGCCGAGCCCAGGGCTCTGGAGCGCCATTTCCTTTAAGCCTGGCTTCCAGGAGGGGTGGCCTTAAGCGGACCCCAGCCCCTAGCACAGGCGCCGGGCAGGATGCAGGCCTCTTCTCTGACCCGTCTCCTGCTTCCCTCCGCCCTGGGCAGCCCCTGGGAAGGACGCCCTGCCGCTGCCCTGGTTCAGCCACACCATCCTGGGCCTCGGGGTCGCTGTGGGCCTCATGGTCTCCGTCTACTTCCTGGCCAACTTCGGGTACATCGGGCCGTGGTAAGAAGGGCACTGCGCCCAGCTGGCTCTGCCCTGAGCCCCTGCCCCTGCCCCACCTGCACCTGCTCCCAAGGGCCGGCCCCACCGACACCTGGCCTTGCCCTGCAACTCGGCCCCAGGTGGGGAGTCGGGGAGGCACGGCCTCCAGGGAGAGCCCCTGAGCCCTGCCCTGTCCTGCCGGGTCTGCCCAGGCTGCGCGTCCACTCATCCAGCCCTCTCTGTGCTGGGAACGCGAGGGCAAGACACGGGCTTGTTCCCCGCTCCCAGGGCAGCCAGAGAGGAGGCGGGTGCTTCCTAACCAACAGGCAATGACGCAGGCAGGGACGGCAGGTACCAGGAGTCAGGAGCAGGTGACAGGGAGAGGGACCTCGGCTGGGGGTGCAGGGGTCGTGTCCCCCAGGAGGGGGTGAGGCCCTTGGAATCTGAAGGAGGAGCTTCCCAGGTGGGGCGGAGGGGACGGGGAGCCCTGCAGGCAGAGGAACGGCAGGTGCAAAGGCCCTGGGTAGGAGGAGGGAGGAACACAACGCCGGGAGGCCCATGTGGCCAGAGCCCAGAGGGAGGCTGACCTTGAACCTGGACTTGTGGGCCGTGTTTGCTTTCTGGGGTCTTAAAAAAGGCCACAGCGAGGACCTGGTGCTGTGTGCCTGGTGGCCCTGGACCAGGGCTGTTGGCTGTGGTTCTCGCTGCTGTGTGGAAGGGTAGTGAGGAGGCCACCCTTCTATCCAGGGACACTGCCCCCTGAGGTCAGCCCTGGTGCTACGGAAAGGAGACACAGCCCTTGACTGTGCCCAAAATGTGTCCATTTGCAACATCCCTCTTGGCAGCGAGTCAGGGGCTGCCACTGGATTTTAAGCAGTGCAGGGACGGCTCAGAGAAGTCAGATAACCTGCCTGAGGTCACACAGCCAGTTAGCAGTGAGGCTGGGGTGGAAGCCCAACTCTCCTGATCTGGTCCCAGTGTGGTGGTTCTGACATTCTCAGTCCCCTCAGTCCATTCCTGTGTCATGCTCTACCTAAAACTCTTCAGAGACTTCCCACTGTCCCTGGAATACACCCTGACGGTCCAGGGCCTCCACCAGCCATTTGGAACTTTAATGCAAATAAGAAAGCAGTGCCCTTTTCCTCAGGCAGATGCACACAGATCTCTGACACTCAGCTTGGCAAACAACAGGGCTGGAATTCAGCCCCCCACTCACTGTCCAGTCCACCCACCAAAGCCAGATGCCCTTGGACAGTGCACAACCTGAACCATTACCCATGGCATCCCTGACTAGGAGGACTCTCTCCTACTTCCCTTCTCATGCCTCACTCTGCGCCAGCCACCTCCAACCCTGACCACTCTGGCTTGTGTGGTCTCTGCCCACCTCTACGTCCTCTTGAGTACACTCTGCTCCATGGGATGGTGGTACTGTGACATGCCTGGTATACCTCTGTCTCCTGCTCAGAATGTCAGCCCCTGGAAGTCAGGGACCTTCTCTGGTGGCCATTCCTGTGTCCCCAGAGCCCACCCAGCATCCTCCTGCAGTGGGGCCTTGATCATATTGGCTGCAGGACTGGGTGAATGTGGACTGGCCTGAGACCTGCCCGCAGAGCTGTGGGCTCTGGCAGGGGACACTGCGGCCACTTCCTGGCCTCAGCCTCCTTCCTCTCCCTGGTTCAGGCTGAAGAAGGTTCTGAAGTGTCGCATCCCAGACCCCTCAGAGTTCTTCTCCCAGCTGAGCTCCGAGCACGGAGGAGACCTGCAGGTAGGAGTGGAGGCACGCAGCGGGGACAGTGGGGTGGGGAGGGGGCACAGCCAAAGTGTCATGTCCCCAGTCAGGTGCAGGCTCCTGTCCCTGTCTCTGGCTGAGGTACCTGCCATCCACATGGCTGTGTGACCTTGGGCTCACTGTAGAACCTCTCTGTGCCACGGCTTCCTCACCTGTACGGTGGGGAGCAAACAGGATTGTGTGACCCGGGAAAGTGCTCCAGGGACCAGGGGGAGGAGGGTCTGCGGCCCTGGCCCCTGGGCAGCTGCCACTTATCACAGGCATCAACAGGTCCTCAGCCACCTGGGGTCCTAGATGGGGTTTCTTTGCAGAGGCAGCCCAGAGGGGGGTCAGGGGACACCTGAGCTTCACCTGCAGCCCCAGCCCCGCCCTCCCCAGCCCCCAGCTGCTTCAGGAGCCCGGGGACTGGGAGGGGCTTCTGCTCCCCCCCATCCCACGTGGGCCCCAGATCAGGAGGTCAGAGGGCGGTGGGGGACAGCAGGGCCATGCAGGGCGATGTCAGGAGCCGCTGTGTGTTCTCAGGACCCAGCAGGGGTCCCCTGGAACCTGCAAAACTCCACTACCCCACCCCTGAGGGGGGCGTGGGGTCACCCTTAGAGCCCTCCCCCCCGGGGTCAAGGTAGCGGGATCCCATCAACAAAGGCCAGGCTCGCGGGCGTGTGGGACCACAGCGGGGCTGCGATGGGCAGGGGCTGTGATGGGCAGGGGCTGCGATGGGCAGGGGCTGCGACTGGGCTGGGGCTGCGATGGGCAGGGGGCCGCTGTCCCCGTACCCCCGTGCCTCTTCCAGCCAAAGCCCCGATTCCGAGGGCCTAGGGTGCCCTGAG